CAAATCATTGAAGGCGTAGAAGTCTGAGAAGAGTCCACCATTGTCATTAATTTCACCGAAGGCCTCACGACCCATGGTGAGTTCTCTTCCTGTATTGTCTCCTCCCAGTTTCGCATTCATGTCACCCATCAGGATTTTGATATCGCTCTTTGGGACGTTGTCCACTACTGTTTGTAGTTGACTGTAGAAATCCTCCTTCTTCTCTTTTTCTGAGACGTTTGTAGGCGCGTAGCATTGAATGATTGTAACCTTTTTTCCTTTTGAGTTGAACCTAGCTGTCATTATCCTGGAGGAGATTGATTCCCACTGCTTCGGCTGCTGTTGATGAAATCATGATAGCCGCTCCCTCGGTGTGCTCGTGATTGTCCTCTGGGTGACCGGAATAGGTCACTGTCTCTCCAGTTGATAGTTGGCATCCACATCCGTTCTATCTGCTCTCGCAGATTCCCAACATTTCTATTCCATATCTTCTCATTTCTGAGGCTACCTGGGCAACCTTTCCAGCTTCGTACATTGTACAAACATTCCACGTCCCCAACCTTAATTTTGCTTTCATCGAAAGGAGGCACATCAGGCTGACTGGCTTCCCGAAGGCTTTTACCAGCATGCGTCATTTCACTTCCCCGATTCCAGCGAAAAATAAGGTTATTGTTTATATTTTTAGTTTCTTAAATATATTTATGTGTTGAAGTTTCTCTAGGACTTCGGTTAAGTTTTGAAGGTGGAGTTGCTAGCACCACGCCCCTACTAGCGAGCTAGTAATCTAGGTGAGGTTTACGTGTAAGCTTGCTTTATTTAAATATTTCTTTCAGCCGTCAATATTAGCAAGTTCATTTCTGATACAATTCCCGAGGATGAATTAATGAAGTCTTTGAAAGCCAGTACTAAGGCCTACTTCCACGACGTATGTGATCGTGTAGCAAAAAGAGGGAGTCGGCGAAGAGTAAGCAAACATTTTTAGGTTAATTAAAGTTACTGTACTACAAACTGTTTCATTGTATGTATGTCACTCAACGGATCTCTGATTTAATCTTCACAGGTTGCTGTAGGCAATAAGAAGAGTGACCAGAGGATCTCTACTGTAAGTGACAATTCAATTAAATGAATGCTGTAAAAATCTATAATTCAACTGCCAGTAGCGTGTAACTATCAACGTCATGATAACTAGTGCTGTTAATTTATCCGACACATACTTGGGTTTTTTTTGTTAATGCGAAAACTATATTTCTTTATGTGCTCCATTGAACGACTAGCTATCAGATTGTACTCACTAACTAATGTCAGAGAGGACAGCAACCATGTAATTTCACTACAGATCAGATTCATGTAATTTAAATAATACTTATCCATGCCTGTACAACCGGTGTGTCCTACATAGATAGAAAAAAATATATTATATTATTAATTATAGGAACTACGTGTTTATGTAGACAGTTGGTTCAACGGTTAATGGTCTGTCTATAATGACTCATTTGTTCTTATATGTGTAGGGGAAAATTCAGCGTTTAAAAATAGACCTTAAGTGTGACGATTTATTTGTAAACAAGTGATTTGATTTGTACTCAATAATTAAGTAACTTCTTAAAGCTGAATAACCACGTTTAATATATCATTTTGTGACCGTTGATTACTAGCATGCTCACTAATGAATTGTTTCCTTTTCAGGATAGTTCAATGGATCTACTTGATGATGGCGGGCAGGTGCAATGCGGAGTTCCCACTTCATATTAAAAGACGATCATTCTACTTGTGTGTATTATTTATAAGTACGAGTGTTCGTTGATCCTGAAGAATCAATTTGACGAATCGTTGTTAAACATTTCCTTTTCCCAATAAACAACTGATATATTTCTTTTCCATGACGAACTTGTATTTTAATGGCGAGTTGCTAGTTGGTTGACGTAAAGTGAATGAGAGAAAAATTACGTGACTAATATTGGGAAATAAAGCTAATTAGGGGGAAGATGTGCATCAAAAATGGGGGAAATATGTGACATAAAAGGGGACATTGTGCAGAGTCTAGGAAAAGGGGGAAATTCTCTGCAACTTCCCATTTATTGCCCTCTCAATGGAGTGTCCAAATTTTGTCCACCTTTTTAAGGCTTTGTTCCCCGATTGTGTCCGATTGAGAACACACAAATTCACCCACCAGATCCACAAATATCCTAGACCTTATTTTCACAAACAGCATAACACCATCTACAGTATATGTAGGACATGAATTTCCGGGTAGTGACAGTAAAGTAGTAGTGTGTTCTTTTAACATTTTCCCTGAGACAATAAGGAGAGATGAAGCTAGTCAGACGCCTATAAGATTATACACATATGTTGACTAGAACTTGTATCAGCATCTATTTATATAGACTAATTGGGACTTGTACTTTTTGAACGAGTCCTAAGAGACAGTTCTTAACAATTTCAATCACAATATAAAGTCAATTCATGATGTCATTGCACCTCAGAAGATTCTTAACCTCAAATCCCCCCAAAGCGATTATATTCCGACATCTCAATAAAATAAGGGTTGTACAGGTTTACATTTTTTAAAAACACTCTCTCTCCTGAAATCTACAAACCTGCTCGGCTTCCTGTCAGTGTGCTACCCCGTGGGCTCTACAGACATTGGTGAGACATCTCACAGGTCAGCTTTTCCTACAGGTTCTAACCCTTCAGATCTTTGAATTCACCTCTTACCGAAATATCAATTATCTACCTCACGATAATCTTTGTATCTACGTACTATTATGCAATACTTCATCTTGACCACCTAGGCCTTTAATTAAGCTAAAACTTACTCGTTTGTTCATATTAGTCACTCGCTTAAGGTCTGGTTGCTCTGGTGGAAAAAACACAGCAACAACACTAATGTTTGAACAAAGCTATATTCTCATCACAATCGTCATACTTTCCAAGCTTAGACCAATATGGTTGGCATTAAAAATTTCAAATGTAAACTATCATTCCAAGGAGTCTCCATCTCTTTCTTGTACATATCTTGTAATTGTACTTTCGGTGACTCTAAGCTACAGCAGCGAAAAACGAAACTACCTCTAGCAACCAGTCACATTCGTAAGGAGTGGAAGCGCGAAATTTGAAATAAACTTCAATATACAAGCAGTGCAATGTTAAAAAACCAATTTTTGCAACCGAATTTGTCAAGGTCATCAATTCGTTCATCAGGTAGTTTCGTTTTGGGCTGCTATAGTTTAGAGTCACCGTACTTTCACTGATGCGTTATCCGTAATTGCATTTTGTACCATTTTGCGGTTTCTCAGGACGTCCTCCCCTCACGTGGGGGCATAGAACTTACCCAAATATAGGTTGTTCAATGGTTGCGTATATCTATTTTCCGGAAACAGAACGAAGTTTGGACTGGCGCTCAACCTTGATGGTGATATAGTAAACGGTTTACAATTTAACATTTACAAGAACCTGTTCTCATTGCTTGTATCGAACAATGTAAAGTTTTGGAAAAGTATTAATTTATGATACTTCAGGATTGTAATTTATAACATAACCAACTGTTACTGTAAATACGGCATACATTTCTTGTAAACTTGCCCGTTGATGGGAAATATAAATTATTATATACTTATTTAGGCCATTAGTATACTAAAAAGATTTCGTGTTTCCGCAAAATGTTGCTGTTTCCAAGATATTCAAACCTTCTGAAACATGACCACGTAAGTTATGGTGAAAAGCCTGGCTTATTCCGAGAACAAAAAGAGTCAATGTTACTGGCTTTAGTTCTTTAGGAATATTGGATATATGAAAAAGATAAATCTTAATTTCATGTGCCTTTCTGAGATATCATGTCACTGAAAGTTTGTATGAGTGTGCAGACACTAATTTTCGACGACCATCTATTCCAAACGCATGTGATGGATTAGGCTGAGTATTCACTGTTGTGGTGTTAACAAGATCATATTTTTGAACTCATATAACTGAGTCATTATTTATATGATGTGGTAATTAATGCGTCAGAAGCAAACTAAAAGCAGCAGCCAAAATCCTCACTCTGCAGATAAGGAGAAGTCAGTTTTCAGGATATGGGGAGGATGAGAAGCCTTGTCTAAACAAATCTGGCAGTAAATCGTTCAAAGTATAAGAATACTAGATAAACTACCATGTTCATTATAAATCTCCTAAAGTATGATGATTTTATCCAAAATGGCAACTTTAATTTGAGATGTGCCTAGAGCTAATCATGTGATTCAGGATGTCACAGTCATCAGTTTTGAATAGCCCAACATAGATAACTGACTTTGTCGGTGTGTAGATTGATGCGTTAATTAATTGTACTAAACTTTGAGGGAGTTTGGTTAATTACTTTCAGTTTAACGAATCCGCTGAATCGGTGAAGGAAGGGACTGGTTGCCAAATGTCCATAGGTTGTGATCTGTCAATGTCGTAGGTGAAATTTTTTAGAAATGGATTGGAGCATTGAGTAACGACAGATGTCAGACTGTTGAGTGTAACCCGAACGGAGAGCGTTGGTAATGGGTTCCTGTGATGACTTGAAGAAGCTAATTTGAAGGGGAAAGTAAAGTGTGAGTAAGCGTAGATAAAAGTAATCATACTAGCACAAAGCAGAATTAAATTGAGATGCCTCACTGAACTCCTACGTTTCACCCGGAACCCAAGGGAAGAATAATGTCCCTAATTAATAATTAAACACTTTTCAGAATAGTGGCTGGATTCATATTTGGCCATAAACTTTGTCACCAACTCTGAGTCATCACTGTCTGGTATCCTGTTAATGGAATCGAACTAATAGTCAATGGAATCATCTGCTACAGCACTAAATGTCGAGGTCTTCTGCCAGTTAATTGCAAATCACAGTGCGACAACTTTTAGCATATCTAAATCAAAAATGCAGGCATAAAGGCCTTACATTTCGAAATATGAAAGCCGAGTATTTTAAGTCACTACATTTTACGAGGGTGTTTTGATTTTATGACCTTAAGGATGAAGGTCGTTCTCCATAACACCTACTTCTGATGGATAGTATAGATGAGTCAAGATTGCCACTAGAAATCAAAACCAAATTAGCCGAACTCGAGATTGAACTTTCTGAAGGTAAATTTATCGTTTTCCACTGCTTTAATCTTCGCATCGGCCCTGATATATATGACAAAGCCAATATTTTGCCTTTGTTCCTTTGGATTATACGTTGTAGGACAAGTACAATCACATGCATTTTATTTCGTTGGCATACAGTTTTTATTGGTATCAAGACACAGCTTTATATTTCGTGTATTTACGAAAACCTCATCCGGAAACATTTTTCATGCATTAAATTAAACGACAGTTATGTTGCATCGGCTGACGGTAGTAAGCAGTTTTCCAAACCGTGGTAGATGGAATGGGATTAAAACTGGAGTATCAAGTGCCAAAGCTAATTGACAGAAATTCTGAATTCATTGTATATTGACTGCGTTAGTTAGAGCAGGCTTTCGCTTTTAAAAAACCGTAGTACTGGCAGTGTTTAAAATCGTACTGTTCACAGTTATTCAATAGATAACTGAAGTTAAAGAAATGAACTGAGATATCAGTCTAACTTGAGAAGTGGTTGAAGTTTCATTGATTGAACCATCGTCATTCTAAAGGATTTACTGATATACAGGAATTAACATGTTCGATAATATTAATCGTAAGATCTTACCCCGGTTTCCAAGCGATCATGATGAACTAGTTAAAGATGATTCAATGAAAGTGTATAAGGATTTTTCGTTCTGATTTCGTTTCAACATTTACATCGTGGTCACAGCAAATAGTGGATACCACAGCCCAATAATCTTGAGTCAACCAATCATGTCCTTCTGGGTCAAATGTGGCACTTATAGTATAAAAAGGATGTTTGCATGATACATATATATGTATATCCATAGTAGAAATAATATGTGCAGTATGTCTCTAGTATGCTGCAAATAGGGGTCCCAGTTTTTTGTAAGAGTGATTATAGATATGTACCATTCTAATCCGTTTATTTGATACGCCCAAAATCCTTCAATAGGATTTGTATGAGTACTAGTTATACGAACCACCAACTCTGATGAATGATTGACTTTGTTTATAAAATAACCTGAAGATGAAAGGCACAACGATCAACATTTCAAATGGATGTTGTCCGTAACATTCGTCGCAAGCTCCATCCTAACCTTAACCGTAAACGTACCCTAACCCTACCCTGACCTAAATTCAATCGTAACTCTCCATTAAACTTGACCCTAACTCTTAATCAGGGTGAATCTTGAAGTTTATGAAAAGTATCCTTTTGTAATGTCGGGTGATCCGATTGGTTGGTTCAAGGTTATTTCGTCGTGATATCTATTCTGTACTCTTGCCCCTTTCGACGTAAATGGTAGTTTCCTTTGATCATTCTTGCATAATATGGATAAGAATTGGTGCTATCGTACAAACTGAAACATACTTATAGGAGTTAGACCAGAAAACAGTAAATCAAGTGAGAACAACAGTTGGAGCATAGAAAGTGTGAATTGTATTTCAGGATCGATGTAATTCAGGCCGAACGTGACACGACGATGTCCCAAATGCGGTGGGTGCTTGACCGCGTACCTTCAGCCGAACCAGTCGGCTTAAGCTGAGGTCAGCGACCACTGTTGAGAGACGGTGTTTTAGACTAATACTTCCATGGAGTTGCCACAACAGGCTTAAAATTTTTCATGGTTACCGATTGGTAGAATGCTCATTTTTGTCTTGAAAGATATAAACACTACCTTAAAAGTAATGAAAATAGCATATCAAATCCTTCTAACTTTGTACTCATTAAATTCCCACCTACTGTTTTTTAATTTGAAAGGTTAATTAGATCTTTTAATTTGACTTTTTAGGTGATATCACAGAAAAAGGGTATCAAAAAAAGAAACAGAAGTTATTAGCCCCGTTTATTACGGTTGGTGGTAAGTTGTGGCTTTTTGTGTAGCATTTCTTGGTTATTCTCTGCTAAACTCTGAATTTGCGGGTCTCAGTGCTGTATCTTTCTCCACTATGTTGTTGTACACCTCACTAATAAAATTACCTATGATGATGGGTTCCTGAGTTGGCTATAATTTTTTCTTGCATAATGTATTGCGGCCATAACTTACTGTTTACTTAGCATCTAGAACCATGTTGAATTACGCAATGTTACAATGTAAAATGTGTCTTGTCTCAAAACGATTCAGTAGCACAATAGTCATGCAAATATTTTGGACCTTCATGTAGTAAATTAAGAATTGAGACAAATATGCTGATGTTCAGTTTTTAACTTTATCAAGTTATAGATGGTAGTATGCTTGAATTACATGTGGTTTATGCCCGTCTTTTGATCTTGCACACTGAAAAGGACAATTTTTAAGTAGTAAGCACTGTTATGCATGTATACATTTCATCGGGACAAGATCTGTTGGTGGATTACGTATTGTGATTATTTTCTTTTTGTTTTCTAGTCATTAATCTTTAGTGTTATAACTTCAGTATTTTTTATTGATGCTTTTAAACTCTGAAGAAAGGATATTGACTGACTGGTTTCAACGTAGAAATTTGCACAGATATGCAGCAGTTCGAGTTACCACACTCCATGTAGCACACAAAGCGAGAGAAGAGATTAAAGACAGATTCGAAAGAGAGATAATAAACAGGAGTGTGAGGCAAAAAGAATAGTAATATGAAGGAACAGTAGAGTTTTATTGAATGCATCTGCGCCAACCATTGAGAAGGATTTTAAGCCATATCACCAATTGTCTCCAGCCATTGCTTTTGACCATCCCGACGACCCCAACCAGACAGCAGTCCACACTCCCTACGTGACTGGCTTAAACTAACCGTTGTAGATTTCATTGACTGATGAAGCCATGTTTTGGTTTGACCACCACTAGCTCTTTTCCAACCTGATCCTAGCTGAAAAATGCCAAAAGAGCCCTCTGTATCTGTGCTGAGATTTCCTCAGCGATCAACCCGCTGGCACTGGCTGATGCAACTCCCCAAGTAAGTGAAGTGGTCAACATACTATCACTTCACTCCCTCCCTATCTTCAAGCTAGGAGTCAATGTAGTCCAGTCCTCTGGCATCACCTTACATTTGATAGACGGAGCGAATCGCATGCCAAACATTCGAAGATTGCTGCTCCTCAAGGTGTTCAGAAGACTGCATTTTGTCGGTGTCTTCACTTAGAAGGACTGTATCATCCTCATATTCTAAGTCAACGAGATTATTCCTTGGTGACAAGTCAATCCCTGAGTCACTGAATTCAGTTAGGGTTAAGTCCATTAGTACATCTATGATGAAATTAGAGGGAAGTGGCCTCCCTGACGGCCGCCACTAGTTTTCACCACTTCAGATGACAACTCTCCGTCGGCTCTCACCTGGCTGCATGAGTACGAGTAGATTGCCTTAATTAGTGCGATGTATTTTCTCGGCATTCCCTTCACAGCCAGATATTACTAAGTCGATTGGTGTATGTTACGTAGCAGAGTGTGATAAGTTACTTTATGGTTTTCTCGTTTTTCACGTATTTGTTTGCATTATTCTTTTCGACCCAGCAGTCTCACACCAACTGGTGTGCAAAGCAATAGGTCATACTCTTATGTGAGAAGTGAGCATACCTTGTTAAGTGATGTGAATTGTTATTATTATTCATTGCATGAGAGTTAACTTCGAGCAACTGTAGTCTCACTCTTAGATATTTTAATACATGGTTTTTACAAATTAATCGGAATTACTAGTGTGGTAAGACTTCCATGATGTAGTTTATGAAAAAGCCTCATATATTCCATCGTTCCTTCCCTAAAATCTATTTATCCATTTTTTATGACAATAAATCTAGGTAATTCTACTAATCCACCGAGTAACTCACATATTCCTCGTGGTGGGATTTTACTTCCTGGACTGAATGAAAACTATGCGAGCAATTTAGCTCTACGAGATGGTGAAGCACCAGAGTCTTTCAGAAATGAACCTCAAAACGATTCTCCAATTAATGCTCAAAACCGTAGATATATACGTGAAAATCATCGCTATCGGTCGGGTAAGGTTTCCATTTTAAGCCCTAGTTCTTCGTTTATTTGTCGTGTGTGTAAATCTAGTCTTCCGTAGCTTTGGATTGATTGGTGTTTTAGTAAGAATTTCCAAGTATGAATTCCAGTAGTCCAAAATTGTCTTTTTCATCCAAAGTGTTGAGATTCATGCTTTCGTAACTGGCTTGTCTGTGGCTTTAATCAGGAAGCTTTACATTACATAAGAATAAGAATATTTTATTCGGTGCGTTTCACTGTACTCTGAGCACCACTTTATATTCTACCATTTAGACACGTGTCCTGATTACTTTTGACAAATTTATCGTTATCTGAGACTGAGAAACAACAAACAAAACAAAACTATACAGGTTAAACAACTGATTATTTTATATTCGGTTGCGTTATCTGAGCTGGTTGTTTTAATTGTAAAGCTTCCATTTTCCTTCTAGACAACATTATCAGCACAAACTTCAATATAAATGATATAGTTTTATCTCGTGATAACCTTTGTCATAGTTGGTTGTTGATTTGCATCAGTGTTGATTCTTTTTATTGACTTGAAATTTAAATTTGTTTGTCATCATGTGGTTTATTCTTTATTACTTGATAATTTTGGTCTGTAGTAATTTGTCTCCTAGTTGCTGATCCGTCTAAGTACCGGGATTCTAGAAATTCCCTGGTATTGTCGATGTTTCCTCTGTTTTTGAAATTTCAGCATTCTCCCAAATCAAACTGGTGTCCATAGTTTTGTCTGCATGCATCGATATGAAAGAAAACGTATCTTTTTTCACAGCTGTTTTATGGTTGTGGATTCTGAGTAGAAGGAGACACCCACTTTGACCAATATAATGTTTATCAGAGTTCAGGCAATTTATCTTGTGGATGCTATTGATCTTTTCTTCTTTTGGTGTTAATTTGTGTGCTACATCTATTTCGATTGGTTTGAGTATTCTGTTCTTCTATTCTCTTCAGGAAAAGAACTCTTTTCAGTAATGTTTTTACAGTTTCTTTTGTGTATTATTGAATCGTCGCTGTTATAGTTGAGTATGTTATCTGTTTGTGTTAATTTTCTGTATACTTGTGTTTCCAAATTTCCCATGTTTGTTCTCTTGATTAAGACATCTAGGGAAGGAATTTCGCTATCTGTTTCTTCTTCTCTTGTGAATTTAGTATCTTTAAATACGTTGTTGATCAATTCGTGAGTATATTCTAACTCATTTACGTTAATTATGACATATAGATCATCAACATAACGTATCCAATTTTCGGTCTACGTATTGGTACATCTATCATTTCTAATCTTCGCATAACTATCTCGGCTATTGATCCTGATATCTGTCTGTCTGGATTCAACATAGAAGTTGGCACCGAAGTGCAGCAGTTCGAGTTGCCACCTTCCAAATAGCACACAAAGGTAGACAAGAAGATGAGTGAAGAGAATCAATAGAGTTTTGACAAGTATAGGAGTGAAACAGAATGAGTAATGGTAGAAAGGAATATGAAAGATTACAGAGACTGAATACATCTGCGTAAGCCATTGACAACGATTTTGAGCCATGTCACCTATTGTCTCCAGCCAGTGATTCTTAGAGTCCCGAGGGCCCCAACCCGGAAGTCTGCACCTCCCTACCTGATCCAGTTTAACTGTTAAGGATTTCATGGATTGATGTCATGTTTTTGTTTGGTCACCACTTACTGTTATCCAACCTGCACCTATATCAGCTAGTGATGCCCGTCGAGGGAGGCGATGGTTAGGCATGCGCAGTACGTGACCTAGCCATCTCAATCTATTTAACTTTATAGCCTCTTCGATTGATTTGATCATGATATAGGCGATTCCATATGTGTTCCTTTTATTTGTTCATGTATTTGCTTATTGAATTGAAAATATTTTCTAAGACAACTTCATGAGCTCCATTCAACTTGAATATCGTTTTTGTGTGTTCATCATTTTGCCAGCTTTTGTCCATTTGAAGTACATAGTGATGTGACAGTTCTCCGTAAGCTGTTACGCGCCTGCCTGCCTATTTCGAGTAGTATGCCATGATTACTAATGCGATATGTTTTCTCAGTATTCTCTTTAAGATTAAACTTCGTGGTCTTTTTAAAAGTGTTAGCTAGTCTTTTCAAAATATTTAGACTAACTGGTCTCCATTAAATGTCCGTATATTTATTTATGATAGAGAAGTTACTATTTTTGTATCCAGGATGAATCATAATATCTTCGGATTACACTGTAATTGTTTGATTATATGTTTCGTTTTTTTAATAAAATTTCAGACATCCGAGATGAGGCAGTAAAGGAGGCTCTTGTACAAGCTCGACAGGAACCTCATGATGCCTTGGCACCTAGTAAACGCCATGATCTCAACCGTTTATCATACTTAAATCAAGCTCAAGAGCGTGTTGTACCAGGTAAATCTTTATTTGCCTGACTGTTTTTATTTTGATTTCTTTGAAAATTTCAAAATGAAAATATTCAAGCGTTAGAAGGTGGACTAAAGAATGCCGTTCTTTTAGGGGTGGGGTTGGTGGGTTATTCAGTCATTCCATGGAAGATATATTGCTTTAGTAGAAGGGCTTATTATAGGAATTTAGTTTTCACCATATAATTTCGTTAATGCATGAATTGTATATAATCACTGGGCTATTTGACATGTGTTCCGTTGAGTTCTCCTAATACACTCAACAGTGGCTTCATGAAGAATCTTTTCGAGCACTTAGAAGCTTCAATAGCCAGTTTTTTTTACTTATAATCATTGTTTCAGACTTCAGTAGTTGTTTTCAGTGCAACCAATTGAAAATGAGGCAATTCCTTCATTGATGTGTACCCAGCTTTCTATCATATAGTAAAATAGCCGCGTGGATTTGTGCTGCTGAAAAGTCCTGGGTACAACAAAGCAACTAGCTTCATTTCCATTCTGAAGGTTATTGTTGATAACAGGAAATAAGATATCTTAATGAAGTGTAATAATCACTTTTAAGACGTTTGTTGCGAATTGTAGGTCGTTTTTTGACTGTAAATCTCACTTAATGGATTGTGTTGATGAGGGCGACTAAATAAGGCCAAAGAGTTGCTTACCATTTCACTCACTCTACTCAATCAGTTGTTCATGTGTATCTTGGTCGATTTTGATCGTATTTCATTGGCCTTCCAATTTACCGTGACTTTGTGCAAAGATAAGAGTTATAAAGTTGTTATTTGTAGAAAAAATATAACTAGAAAGGTCAAATTCCATGTTTGTTTTTTATCTCCATACTTATAAGTAGTTACATGTAGCTGTGGAGTTCCATTGGTCTGAGTATTCGGTTTTCAACCAGTAAGTTACAGGTTAATAAGTTTCCCCACCTAGTGAGTTCTGATTAACCAGGTGGAGTCAAGCGTGCGGATTTCGTCCTATGTAGGACGCGTCATCTGGATGCTACTCCCACTGAGACTCGAACCCAGCACCCATCGTTTCAAACGCCAAAGCATTATCTATCGGGCCAATGGAAACACCATCACTCACTGAGGAGGTTACAGATACGTCCAGCTGACTGACTCCAAGTCGGACGAAGTGTGCTTCCTCGATTCCAATGCTAGTCACCATCATCCAAAGTAACATGATGTTAATCCTTAGATGTTATCAAAGCGTCTACAGCAGTAGCCAACATGTCCAAAAAGATCGAGTATTTCAGGCCAACATAATAATCGGTCAACGGGGGGAGTACAAATTGACTTAAACAGTGATTTCAATGATTACTTCTCTATAGACAGTTTTCAATATCAATTGCTTTGTACACTATTGTATGCCTTTGTGTAAACAGTACAATACACACTCATAAGTTATAGGAATAATACACCGGTCGTTCACACACACATGAATGTATCATTTTTCACGTGTTGTATGTGTGTTTCCATTCTCATTGATTACACACATCACTTCGTCTTGCAACCGTATGTGTGTGTGTGTGTTTGTGCGTATATTTTGGTCGAACATACTTTCTTATCCGGTGTTTGTCCAGCAACAATCTGTTGTTGTGTATTATTTTGTTAGAAATTTGATAAGTTGAGAAAAGAAATTTTATTTTGCAAACTATTTATTTTTAGTAAGCAACCTGTCTCGCTTGCTTCACAATCAGTTCATATTGTTACTGATGAAAATGGGGGACATTTTTAGCGAAAAATCATCTGAGTGAGTAATGTTACTCTTAAATTAGGATAACTTCCTCATTCAGGAAAAAATAAAACGATACTAGAACTACTCTCTGCTGCCAGCGTCGGTGGCACAATGGTTAGGACGCTCGCCGACCATGCACATGGTCCGGGGTTCGATCCCCGGCCACTGACGCACTCCTTTACCTCGCTAAACCAGAAATAAAGCTGGTGAAGAGTAAAGGTAGGGCATGAGGCTAGCAACCCCATCCTGTAAAGTAAACACTGTTACAGAAACTTCAAGCCACCAGCTTGAAGCCCTATGTTCCACTGGGGAACGTGAAGGAAAGAAGAAAGAAAGAAAGAAAGTGTTAATTTTTTTTTGTTTACACAAAGTCAGGATAACTGAAAACTACCGAATGAATGTTGTTATAAAACAAGAAGAGCGTCTCAATGTGTGACTCATTTTTCAGAGTTCTCAGATTACGCGTTATCATTGTGAAGAAAATGCCTTTGATATATATATATATATATATATATATATATATATATATATATATATAGGATACTTATTAACATACGATGCTTTATATTTTACAACAGGTTCTGATGATTCCGACGAAGATGTCTCCTCGACATCGTCAGCTCAAGTTACACGCCTGCCGAATACTGACCAGTCATCATCTGCCTTGTCTGAAGTAAGTCATTTTGTATTCTTAAAAAGCTACCAGGTGATTCAAAAATAAATTATTGATGATTTTATGGAAATGTTTATATTGAATAAGCGTGTAGAAACCACAAAACACTTTGGAGGGTTCTGTTTGAGTTCTTCAGTAGAATCTTTTTACCACTTGATGTTTGATTGCATGTAAGGCAATAATAAATTCGTGTCATGATTGAACAAATTATGTTCTTCAAATTCAATGTTACTTTGAAATAGCGTAGGCGTGAGTGATACTTTGTTCTCTCAGATGATTCATTCACAACTTCAGTGAGTAACACTGACTTGTAATATGAACTGTGTTCAAAGTTATAAGCGGTGTTTGTGCTATATCACCATTCTGTCGAGATTGATTAATTTCCATGTAATCGATGTGATCAAGGAAACTTACAAAGTTGGTGTGTAAGTTCATCGTTTGAAAGATAAAAAGTTTCAATGTGTAACGCTCCATAGAAGACAAGGGTGATGAGGATAACTAACGAACCGCAGCAACAACAACCAGCGGCAATCACCATCAACGGGAAAGATTTAACAGAGGTTACTTTCTTCACTTATCTAGGAAGGAGAGTTTCGGCTACAGATGGCAAAACGGATAAAGATGTCAGTCAGAATCGGAAAGACGAGATACGCCTTCATCAACCTGAAACCAGTTAGGAAATCTTCTACACTCACTCAGCTAGCATAAAGAACAAAATTCGTATTCTGTTCAACATAAATGTGAAGTCAGTCAGTCAGTCAGTTCTTCTATTCGGCTCAGAAACTTGCACTGTGCGTGAGTCACGAAAATGATTTCCAACAAGCTACAGACTTTTATCAACACCTGACACCTTCGCTGGCTGGCTCCATACTGAAGATCAAATGGCCAACCTGTCAAAAAGAATTAGCAACGAGAAACTCTGGCTGGGAACAAACCAACAAGCAAGAGCCGATTGCTCAACAAATATATAGGAGAAAGTGGAAATGGATTGGGCATACGTTGAGGAGACCGTCGAATGACACCGCGCGCAATGCAGACCATTGCTCTAGTGGAATCCGAATGGGAAGCGATGAATGAGTCGTCGGTGCGAGTTTGACATGGAAGAGATCGTGCGAGAACGAGATGAGAGATTGTGGGGAATCGTGGACCCAGCTGAAGAGGACAACAGAGAATAGAACAAAGTGGAGGGGTATTGTTGAAGCAGCATATTGCACTCGGAACCCAAGGGAAATAATAATAATCGGTCGTTCAATTGTAGAATGCTTGCCAGCCAGCCACACGAGGAGGGTTCAGATTCCGTCACCGTTCAGCGCACTCCTAAATCTTGGCTAGTGTTGTACTGGCTGGTAGTAAACCCGGAAAAGGGGAAAGGTTGGGAGTGAGGCTGGCAGTCCCACCTCGTATGAGAAAAACAACACCATCGCTACTGAAACGTCAAATCTTGAAGTCTTATTTTCCCAGAACACAAGGAGTGTTATATAGTTCATCGGTTGTTTCACATACATTCTATATACCTGAATTCTCAGCTTAAAGCGTTTTACAATAGTACAACAGTTCAAATGTAAACATAAAGGTGGATAAAAAATGTGCGGGAGAAGGAATAAGTTCATGGAGAATCATAAGGATTTAAACCATGTCACCAAAAGTCTCCAGCCATTCGTTCTTAGAATTTCAAGGATCCTAGCCAGACAGTCTACGCTCCCTTAAGTGGTTCAAAATAACAGTCAAATACTTTATAGATTGATATCAGGTTTTGGTATGGCCACTCCTAACTCTTTTCCAACTTAATCCTCTATCAGCTGACATTGCTTGTTGAGGTTCGGTGTATAAATAACACATTTTCCAACCATCTCAATCGATGTAGCTAGCTTCACAACCTAATAGATCGGCTTTGTTTGCTTACCTGACACTTTACGCCTAGCCTCATTACCACTGACAACATAATATATATATATTGCATAGAGGATTTCATCATGAGCTGACATCAGTTAGAGAACCACTGGAAAACCTGGGAGTACTGGACAGCTGTTTCGTCCTAGTTTGGGACTATGTTGTGAATTGGCAGAAGTTAGAATTCAAGGACCATTGGATTGGGTCCCAGTGGCTCAATGGTCTACGAGCTCGCCTTGTAACCAGAAGGTCCTGGGTTCGAATCCCGGTTGGCGCGTACTGATGAAGAGTCCCAAACTAGAACGAAACAGCTGTCCAGTACTCCCAGGTTTTCCAGTGGTTCTCTAACTGATGTCAGCTCATGCAATTAAACAAAATCCCTACCAAACCAATACTTGAAAAAAAATATATATATATATATATATCACCTAACACTAGACGCAGAAGATAGACACCACATACAACATAGGCTGGATAAAGAAAGGTTGAGTAATTAATTCACTTCTCTAACTATGTCAGTTAATTCCACGAGTTGTTCACATATCCTATTCAGGAATGAAGCACTTATGCCTAATTTCCCCATATTATTAAGTTAACATTTGTGCTATTGATTTCTGGATAATTTTACGATCTTCAGAATACTTTATAAAGTGATACAACTGAGTTTTTCGTAAGATTTGTTTAGTATTGCAATGATTATTGGACGCGGGGGTAACCATAACTATGTGAATTTTGTTACAGAAATGAGTTTCTACACCTAAAAAATCCCCGTTACGTTAGCGAGACTTTTTAGTGGGCTAACTTTTCACCTTCATACTATACACTGCAGACAGTACTAGTTGTTCAAAATGATGCAATGTTGTAGCTAATGTCCTAGTATTTTGCAGAAACACTATAGTATTTGTCATGTGATCATATTTCGTTCACTTACAATTGTTTTAATTGTATTGTAAGTTCAAATATTCTCAGCTGAGTGATCACGTGTATGTTCACGTGTGTATCAGTGAGTCATACTCATTGTGTGAAGGGTTAATGAGATAATATAAGAGTATCTTAAACATATTAGATAGTGGAGGATTGGAAGTCGTTAAGCACTGATCTAAAGTCAAGTTGTTAGGCTAATAAGCTGCATTTTAACAAAATACTGAATATTTTTGACTCATGACGTGGCGTATTCCCCGCCTCCTATTTTCGATTCGTCAGTGAGATGTATCTGCATTTCCAGTGAGTTATGGTGCCCCCACTGTGACTTAAATCCAGCACCTCTCATTTCAAACGCCAAAGCACTATCTACTAGGCTATCGTGCCATCCTAGATTCCACTGCTAGCCCCGCTGTCAGTCAAATAAAATCATGTTAGTTTCACTCTTAGTCTTCACGTGCTCTACCACTTCACTCCCAATTTCTAAAGGGAGTGAAATGGTAGAGTACGTTGGCCGCTTCACTTATTTGGGAAGTACCATCAGCCCCAACGGGTTGATCTCTGACGAAATCTTAGCACGGATACAGAGGGCTAGTTTCGCATATGCCAGTTTCGCCGTCTTTGGCGTAGACGTGATATCCCACTATCGACCAAAGGGCAGTTGTACTGCTCATCAGTCCGCTCCGTCCTCCTTTATGGCTGTGAGACCTGGCCATTGAGAGTGGAAGACATGAAAAGATTAGCTGTCTTTGATCATAGGTGCCTGCGTTCTATCTCCCGTGTTAGGTGGTATAATAAGGTGAGCAATATTGAGGTTAGGCCTCAGTCGAGTGCTAGGTAGGTGGGGGGGGGAGAAATCAATCGACGAGACTGTGAAATTACACCGACTGAGATGGTTAGGACATGTGTTACGTATGCCTAGTCATCGCCTTCCTCGACGGTCTATGTTAGCTGACATAGGGTCAGGCTGGAAAAGAGCTAGCGGCCGTCAAACCAAAACATGGCACCAGTCAATGAAATCTGCAACAGTTAGTGTAATCCATGTAGGAAGGTGTAGACTTACTGACTGGTTGAGGTCCTCGGGACGATAAAAACCAATGGTTGGAAACAATTGGTGACATGGCTCAAAATCGTTCTCAGTGGCTGGCGCAGATGCATCCACTCCTTGTGACTCATGATTTCCAATTAAACTGTTTTAATCTTCGTTATTTCTATTCCTTTGTCTCACATATCTGTCTACTGTCTCTATTTTGTATTTCTTCTACTTTCTTCTCTTGCTTTGTGTGCTACATGGAGTGTGGCGACTTGAACTGCTGCACATCGGTGCAAAATTCTATGTTGAAGACAGACAGACAGACAGATGTTAGTCTTCAGAGATCATCGAAGCTTCCGTACTAAGAGTTGACATGTCAAAGGTGACTGAACATTCCGGCCTAATATATATTAACAAACGGGAAAAACCAAACTAAAACAGAAGTTATAATTCACCGGCCATTGAACTCTATCCTTGTGGTTGTATGAATAATCAAGGAGCCCGCCACGTAGTCTTAAGATCTTGGGTTCGATCCCTAGTGGTGTGGTCTTGGGTGCCAGCTGATGAAGAGTCGCAAACATGGACAAAACAGCTGTCCAGTACCCTTTCTCTAACTAACATCAATCCGTGATCAAGCTTGAAACCGGTTAAATTCCTACAAACTAACACTTGAAAAACATAAAAACCTGAATTATTTAATTCACTTTGAACTTCCTCGTTGATTAATTGGATCGAAGTGTTCGGCCTCAGGTTGACATGTCGGCTCCTTGTGGAGATGCTTCGACGATGTCTGATTATTTAACTTGAAGTAAATTGGTGGATACTAATACCTTTTACACAAGAGGTGACTCTTGTGGCCCAAGTGGTCTAGTGGATAACACTTTGGCGTTTGAAACTATGGGTACTGGGTTCGAGCCTTCACTCATTGACTGCGGAGTGCAGATGATGTATGCCTAGATGACGAATGCATGCACCATCACTCACCAATTTACTTCAAGATAAAATCCTGAATTGTGTACTTTAATAAGCATTAAGTGAACATACCTCTGTGTATGTATGTGAATTGAGCTTAAGTCTTTGTTGTTGTTGTCTTTAGTCTTACAATTCAGCATATTTTAAAGTCTTAATCCCCACATACACTCCAACACACACATGA